CCCCCCCCCCCCCCCCCCCCCCCCCCCCCCCCCCCCCCCCCCCCCCCCCCCCCCCCCCCCCCCCCCCCCCCCCCCCCCCGCCTCCTAAATCTATCTATTACTCAACTTAAATTAATGAGTTTTGAATTTATTTTGATTACTTTTTATTTAGAATTTATTGAAGGAACTGTTCATGCATTTTTTATTCTTATTGCTTTACGTAAACGTTTAAATCGAACGAATAAGAAAGCATATCCTGCGCGTGAAATTATTACATTATTAATAATGATTGATTTAAGTTTATGGTTTGAAGAAACAACAACAACGACAAAACATGAGGCAAATCCATTTCAACTGGATTTTTATCATATCATACCGTGGTCAATTATTGCTGCGATTGCCACACCATTGCAAATATTTTTTCGTTTTCATTCATCTGTATGTTTATCTCATGTATGGGAAAATATGTACACGACAAGCGATAGATCCATCGATCATCATTGAAGATGAAAACAAAACCTTTTATCTGTCTAAGTTGCCCGTGATTGCTTTAGACCTCTGCAAAAAAAAAAGCTTGTTGTATTCTTGATAATATGCTCAATTTTATATAAGTACATTTGATTTGCACTCTCTTACTTTTTCTTTATCTCTGTTCAATGACGATGTTGAAATGCACTAAGTCAGCATATACAGGTTTTATATCATATGTGCTATATAGTTATTATCTGAATAAGATATTTTATGTTCACTTACATTTTTTGTCAATTTTTTTCAATAATTTATTTTTCATCTTTTGTTAGATGAACTTATTAGAACTAATTCAACTGCTTAAATAGAGAGTTTGTCGATGGTGACGTTTTTATACAATAATCACAACACTTTAACATACATTGTGTGGTAGGACTGATGGAGATTTCTTTAAAAAAACCCACGAAAAAATGCGTCGAAACGCCAGCTGTTTAAACGAGTGGGCTTGTTTTGCAACGCGTTGTTGGTCATAAAAACGCCTTGAAAAAAACGCGTTTCAGCTTGTTGGTGAAAAAACGCGTTTTCCTAATAGAAAACATGCGTGGAAAAGCCGTTGAAACTCGCTTTTGTTGAAGCGTTGAAACACGTTTTTTAATTCACTCAAAAAGCGTTGTTTATCCAGAAATACGTGTTTTTCTTTGAAGTGAGAATGAGCTGTCGTTCGAACACAGTATCGTATTCACTCCATGCGGTATTATCTACACAAAATTCACTGTCCATGTTTGCTTTGTCATAACAAAAAGTCGGTGAACTATATAAGACTTTTCATCGTTATCGAACTAATTTTGGGGAAGGAGTTCAATTTTCACTTCCTAGATAGGATTTTTGGGCAAAACAGTCTTTAAATCCACTGTAGTAAAAGTCTGGATACAAAAGTTGTTCAGAATCAAATCCTCTAAAATTTGATCGAGGGATTTCAAAATTCCTTCAACTCGATTTTTAGATTTAAATTTATGAAAATTTCTAAACACTGTGTTTTCGTATTTAAAAATCAATCCGGAAGGAGTTCTGAAAATTCCTTGATGAAATCTTAGAGGATTTGATCCTGAACAACTCTTGTATCTACACTTTGCTGTAAAATACTTCCTTCAATCGAAGTTTGGTTTCCAGCTTGGATCAAAGCGAGCTCAGTCCAGAAATAAGCGAAATTTTCGGCTATTGAGTTTATTCTTGAAACTTTCGTAGTTTGTAGAGTACAACTCGATTGAAAGAAAATGGTTATCATCAAGAAACTAGCAATGCAGATTGAAGACAAGGATGCGGTCAAATAACAAATGACAAAAAAAGAAAAATTAGATGAAGTTTTAGTCATAGCGAAACAAAAAAAATGCAAATATTTTGTTTAAATTTATAGTTACTATCGTCGCTTCGTATTTTCCTCGCCATGCGTGAAGAAATAACACTAACTTTGTCGAATTAAAACTAGTTAATTTGCATATCTCTACAGGTTATGATCGTTTTGAGTGTAGCGTGGCGTGAGAAGAGGAAAACGTACTGTTTCTTTCTTCAGATTAACATCCAGTTTAACAAGTAATCGGATTTTGATCATTACTACTTGTCATCTTCATTTGTGAGGATGCAATGTCTCTACTTTTCGAACTAACTTGAATTACATAGTGAAGCAATTAAACAGGATGTTTGCTTAACAAATTTCATACGGCCGCCGGACTATGTACATTCACTGTGATACCCGAGAAAAATATCAAATCACAGCTAGCTTCGCCACTCAGTAATATTGAATCTGTATGTCATAAGTGAATAATCTATGTTAGACGTTAGTATTCTTTTATCCAAAAAAAGACAGCAAAGAAAGAGAAAAATAAAATCAAGTTTAAAGAAGAGACAATGCTACATTTCAAAAATTTTCACTTTCAACTTGTATATTTAACTTGCGAACACTTCTGTTTTAAATTAAAGAGATTCGTGAAAATATATATCATAAACAATATTATTCCCTTTACTGAAAGTCTTGGGTCATACAAACGAAATGTCTCTCCGCAGTAGAGTAGTGATACCTGACGCCACTTAAACATAAATTAGCGACATATTCACATTCGAGCAGGGAAAACAGGTAACTACTATGTGTATGTCTGTTGTTTGGTTTACCAGTGTGTTTGTGATTCTGTGCGGTGTTTTTTCTTTGGAATTTGCAAGGTCAGATACTATTGTTGTGCTGCATATTGCTCGCGTTTATGGTTTACGGAAATTTTGGCGAGGTTGCGGTACCTATGCTTTTCGTCATTGTTTTTGGTGGTGGTATTGTTTGGAGCGGACTATATCCTGCGTTTTCGAGATAGCGGCTTGTTTATTGTGTGTTTTGGAGATCGTTTCGGAGTAAGTCTTTCTGCAGTTCGGAACGAAGGAAGAAATGCAGAAACTGTTACCAGATGATGTGTTCGTTAACGTTGGTCAGAATGATTAGTGTTAACGCTTATTCTCGCGTTCTTCGGGCTTTTCCTACTGGCTCGTTTTTAGCACATTTTGAGGGCATATTTGTTTCTTAGATGCCAGAATTAGCTTTTTAAACTTCCCAAGCGGAGCCAGAGAAAACTAGTTGTGAACTTTCAGAGGTAGTAATACGAAAAGTGGTACACTATTTTTAAAAAATCAAACGTTTTTCACACGAAAATGACTTCCAGACATATCAAAATCAGCTTTAACCCTCCGTTATCGTCCTGATTTTATAACTTCACCAGTGTCCTGGGATTCGTGTGGATCCCACGACAGTAATCGAGGGTTAATACTGCTTTTCTCCCTTGCTAAAAACCCCGTTTCATTTAGCAGATTTACAAAGCCACGGCGAGGTTATGTTGATGTTTGAAGTGACTGATTGTCATAACATACTTAGATGGAACTACACATGTACCAGTTGTATAACTTGTATCTGGGCACCAAGGAAAATTGTTGTAACCGTGCCATTAAGAGTCATTGCGCGGTCCGAAACGTCTCATTTCGTAGAGAAATGTGTGCTCTATGTACTTGTTGGAAGAAAAAGTTTCAAGTCAGTTATGACATAAGGAATTTGGAGTAAAATAACTGACCAGCCGGTATGTAACTGTTCGCGCCACTTCACCAATTAGGTAAGAAAACTTTTATCCTTTAACCAATTTTTGTTGTGTAAATGTATAAACCAACATTTCGCTACAGAATGTGAGTGGCATACTACTATACGAGTGTACTGTTCTGTGTTTTTCATTTAATTTCTTAAATAAAGCTTCGACTTTCCAAGTCGGAGCGATTCTTGACATCCATATTATAACAGCTTTCCCAGATGCCCCAAGAAAAAGTCAGAAATACTGCTGCATACGTGGATGAAGATTATTCTAGTTCATCTCCTTTATTGAAAAAAATCTTATTTTATGTTAACGGCTATTCAGCGAGTTTAGCTTTGATCAGTATTTATTATTGTTTCTCTGATCAGTAAAGAAGATACAAGGACGCCATCTCAATTGAGAACGATCTGAAACTGTGCACTCTCGGATGAGAACAATTTATAAACTTACTCTTAAAGGAGAACATTTTCAAATAGTATACTATCGAAGGAGAACAATCGTTTGCACATAATCTCAAATGAGAACATTTTTAAACCGTGCACTCTTGAAGGAGAACATTTTTGTCATATATATTCTCAAAGGAGAACAGTTGTAAATTGGAAGATAACAG